ATTATGCTTTTCCAAATGTATCTATTTCATGAGGTAAGAGATGCTTCTTTGTCACCATTCCCTTATGCCAACAACGTAGCGCTTATTTCTTTCGAACCTCGTTAGTAATGGCAATTTAGTCACTGATGTGACCGATGATGACCAAACTGATGAGGAGATTCAGAACAGTTCACAAAGGGTGAAGGCGTTCATGAAGACGACTTATAGATGTATTTTTGACAATGACACGTAGTTGAAAGTTAGTAGAAGAGCAGCCGAACAAATTTACTTCAGTCTTAATGCCTCCATACATCCATATCGACCAATCAGCTTCCTTATTGGTGTACTACGAAAACTTATCGTGATTCTAGAGCATTCCTTCCTTAAACGGAGTGTTGACCTCATTTGGCTTTAGATTTGTGAAGCATCCAGGTGACAGCTCATCTTACGGTTCTTCGGTCAACTATAACCACTTGATGAGCGCAGCGTTTGTGAAAGGCTTTGCGTAAGTCCCGAAGATATAGAAAAGCCATCGACGTACTTGTGATTTGACACTCCCGGAAAGTCATCAATGAGGAATTTTAAGTGTTCCAGCTTTCAGTTATTTGAAAGTTTATGATATTAACGAAGAGATCAAAGAAACTATGGAGAGAGGAGAACTGAGCGATTTACCTTGGAGTCAGTACCGGCGAATATGCGATAGCCTGTTTCCAGCACAACAACGTAGTGGTAGGAATCACCCACCATCACAATACGCTTGTTGTTAAGCTCAAATATTTGAAATTCTTCAACAAATGAGGACCTCATGTTTAAGTACTTCTCATCAATGTACAATAATACTTACTTGATACTTGAATGGCCCGTCCTCATTGGATGTGCGGGCCTCAGCAAAATCCCCACTTTTTCGGAGTTTTGCTGGTTTAGCCATCTTATTTCCCTGGAATCCAGAGGTCAGTCTGGCCAAAGTCTGCCCTACGTCGTCACCACCATAGGAAGTTGCAGCCCTTGTGGATCAGGAGGAAATTTGCCAACATGCGACTAGTTTGGTACCAGGACAGTGGTAGATCCTCGTATTGGTTTACTTTTGGCTGGGCTTCGTGATGGAAACTTCGGACTCAGACCTGCTGTGGCGGGAATGAATTCCCCTCTGTACTTCGCAGCCCGGCACCCAGGAACACCTCTCAGCCACGATGAGGCGGTAAAACATTAGGAGGGTACAATAATAGAGCTTCTAAAACGTTTCACATGAATAAGCACGATTCCTGATTTTATGAAGCCCATATTCCTCCTCTTCTACTGGTACAACCCTCCTCGTACATTTTGTTCGAAAACTTCTCACCAGCAAACTTGGTTCCACTAACTTGCCTACAGAATAGAGTAGTGTACAGACCACTTTCGTATCATTAGTAACACTTCTACAAACTACAGAGTTGTAAGTTCATTCTCTAGAAGCCGAGGAACATCGTATAATTTTCATTTTTCCAGCACTGCTAATTATGGACATAAAGATGAAATATCGATTTCCAGGTTCATAATGTGTGGCAAAAATCACCGTCACCAAAATGTAGACGGTCAGAAAAAGAACGCTCATTACGGCGGTGACATGTAGTTTAAAATCTTCGGTTATATACCAACCTACGAAAATCAAAAAATAAGGCACTTAGATAGAACCTCTCTTTCTTCGATGATATATATACTGGTTGTGGAAATTAGGGTCCACTTCGGCTCTGAATGGACCCACCGAAAACATAAATAGATGGCTCGCCGAGCACAGCACCATGGTATCGCCATGATACTTTTTGCTCTAGAACAACTGTCCTCGATAAATAACCGGAAAAATTTATTAGCGTTATTTTTGAACGTAAACGAATGCGTTGCATCACCATAACAGATGCACCAAAATCTTCTCAGTAGGAAATAAAATGTCACTAGTGCCTATTAGCGCTCGAGCTCATTGTTATGTTTTTTTCATCATAATCGCTTAAATTTGAGTCGTCCGTTATCACTAGGGAAGGTGCAAGTCACAATTCTCCTCTGATGCATTACTAAGAGAAGAAGAATTTGCATCGGAGTCTGACGGTTAGGAAACTTTCAAATGAAGCAGTTAGACGGTTAAGAAGGTAATTTTGTGAAAATAAGTGCAATTTAAAAACATGTATGGCTTATCCAGGTTCTGCCAGTTTGGAAGACTAGAAATGTAGGCTTAGAAGACCGTGGATAGCGCTCTAGATGAGGTTTTCCTTTTTAATTACAGCTGCATCCCTGGTACATTCCCACACACTCATAAAGATAAACATCGTAGAATACAGAAAATTGAAGCGATCGATCTTAGTAGGGTAGATGAAAAATTTTCAAACAATATACGACTTTTATTTTCAATTTCCATAATTACCAACGTAGTAGTAATTTATTTTCGATGTATTCAACATTCGTCCAAGATACACTCACCACCATGGTTTCGCTATCGAATCGTTCAGCACTTTCTTGAAAGAAGTAGCACCCCTCGGTGATTACGCGAGTGTCGAATTTCATTTTGAAACCTGCAAAGAGTATTTTCTTGTCCTCTGTCTACCTCTCTCGTTCACTTTCCAATCATGCAAGAACCTTTACCACAAAAACTATAGATTTCAGCGTGAATTCTGAAGATAGTTGGAACATTCGCTCCGTCGTGCATCATAGCTGCACTGATGGCTTCGAAGGCACGAAAGGCGTTACAATATTGATTGGATTCCCTTTATTTCCACAGCTTTTGAAGGAAAAACAGCTACAGGTAGCTTTCATGGCTTCGTAGCGCCACAACTTTCATCTGAGCTGAGTTGCCTGATGAAAGGTCCTATTTTTCTGCATTAAAAACTCCGTTGTGAATACGCATCCCATTTCAAAAAAAAAACGAAAACGTCGAAACGTTAGTGGAATAAAAGTTGTATAACAACCTAGTGGAAGCTCAGCAACTTAAGCATGCATACGTCTTATTTATTATCCATCGCTCTTTCACCACTAATATGGCATTTTGTGAAAATATGCCCAAGATCACCTCCAGAAACATAGCTTTTCCCAGCACTCAAAGCTTCGTTGTGTAGCGAGTAGTTTCTGCCTTTTCTTTGGCCCTAGAATGCCACGTCCTGTTAGTAAAAGAAGACTGGCAGCATAAGCTTACGGCTGTATGATTTAATGTTATGCCAAACTTGCTGACTCAGCAATCAACAACTAGTCATGATCTCCCTTGGAAAGTTTTGTACATGTTACATAGCAGAAATTTCCGGTGGTTCACGGCCTTATGGTTTCAGTATGGAATGTGGTTCCGGATGTAGAATTGACGCCACAACAGGGATTCGCCCCAGTACGGTCCTTATAACCGAGAGTTATTTCCATCGGGGATCCTAGGAAGGAAACCATCCTTGACCTATGTCAGTTTTGCTGTCAGCAGTCTGCAGCTGTGGGGCGCAAGGGAGGCTAATGAAGAACTTAAAGGATCTCGGTCATATCGTTCGTTGATTAGTGAGATTGGAACTGACCCTAGCTAACAAAGTTGTCAATTACAAAACTTATGGCGTGTTACATAGTGATCGGAGGCGCTCTGCTATACATATGGAATCGATCTCCGCCCCCATGGCTCCCAAACCTTCCATCCTTCCTGGGTCGGTAAATTAGTACCAGACTTGTCTGGGAGGATAGCAGCACTGGCTTCACACATCGGTAGGCTACCGTGAGTTATTTTAAAGGCCAGATATGCATTAAATCACCTCCAGGCGATGGTTAATGAACTCGAATGCATGGCGCATCCTTCAGGGATCGATTAACTCCGAGAGCTTTACCCTTTCTTATCCTTTACGGTGTTAACTTGTATATGGCAAAAAAATTCTGCGACCTATATAGGATAAGATGCGTTTTCTTCTATATATAATTCGTAAAGTGGTGAATGTCGTGGATGGTTGTGGGCGAACAGTCACGGAAGCAATTTCGACTACGCGTTACGTTTCGGCGACAACCTTCCTCAGAGCAGTGCGGTTGGACCGCCCGTGTGTTGTTCACGAGGGGTTATGAGTTGGATTTTTGAATATGTGTTGACTAGTGATACCGAGGTTAAAGGAAAATTGGTTTTGAAATATTGTTATGCTCCTGCAATGATTCTGAGATATTTGCAAAATTCCGAACCGCAGGTGCCTGCCGTGGCAATCGAACCTGCTGTTACCCTTTCCAGGAGCTAACTTGTTTCAAATTCCGACAATTTCGACTACAGTTCCAGCTTAACCAGGTGCAATGCCGATTTATGCTCCCCACGTCAATCACGTTGACAGATGATGGCACCGTCAGATAGAAAGCTAGCCGAGAGAAAGGCAAAACAAAGGTCCCACATGGTGTGGCTGTAAACACGTTAGTACCTGAAAGAGGTATATCGGGTTCAATCCGCACCACAAACATTCAGGGTTTTGCAAACATCTCAGTATTGTGCTTGCATTTCACACAATACCCCATTGTGAAAAATTGTAATAGGAAGCAGATAAAAAGTTGATGTTGTCATGCTATTTGCTAGCTAATGATGATATCTACTTCTGTAGAATTTATCCGAAAAAAACAAATTGGTATCATAGGACAATCAGTGCTATCAAGAACTAGCAACCTTTATAAAACAGTATCGCCGCATGAGTAGACCTCATTCGAGATATGCTCCAGGAGGATTTGATTGGATAGAGAAACGAAGAGGCCGCATGGGGAGGACAAACAACTGTGGACGATCTGCTCGGATCTACGGCTCTGATGAAGACGAAGACGTCGAAACGTCAGCCGAATAAAGATTGTTTGAAAACCTTGTGTAAGCTTATCAAAGAAAGAATACATGTTGATTATTCAAAACGAGGAAAGTCGGTTTTAAAACATGCCTGGTTAAATGCCAACGTTTCACTTCTGCTTTAATAAAGCTATTCATTATATTTTCTTCTAGTTGATCTTTTGGTGGATCAAATCAAAACTACACTTGGAAACTGATAAATTACTTTGTGATTACATCCTGAACCATTTTACTAGAAGAAAATGGATACGGACCATGAACGAAGCATCAGTGATCTTCCGCTGTTCTCCAGTTTTCCGGAAACCGCTGGTTTTGGGTAAGTGACACAGCTATTTCCGCCATTATCCAGTACTCCGATGCTGACATAGAACCGTTCAGTTTTGTTGAAAAGATTACTTCCGCGCAAATAGAAGTAGTTGACCTCTAAACTTATCGTACTTAGAGAGGCAGGTTGAACTGAAAAACAACATTTCCTTCCAAACTGAACAAAACACAGAGCTGGAAAATAGCGCTTTGCAAATCTTTTCCAAGTGGAATTCTCTTTTCTCTCTCGACAACTTTGTTCAAAAACTTGTTGTTTCTTAGTAGTGAGGGGTTTAGTTTTTTCAGCTACAGTTTCGTAAGAATAACAAGTTTTCGCTGACATTCGCTACCGTATACTCATGTTCGATATGAATACGGTACGCAAATGAGCAGAGAGCATTAGAATAGGTAAATCTTCTTTGAGTTATAAACATCTAACTTTTAATTGTTCTAATTTGAAACTGAAGCCGTGATCTCTTTCCAGAGTGCCAGGAAGACACGGGTAGGCAAAGAAGGCATGAGAATCACGATTGTTTTCTAATTTTAACTTTAAGTACGGCTTAATCTGGATGAGAATCCACAAGTTCAGATAGAGCGTGAGAGAAACCGAGCGGTAGTGGAAGTGGCACCTCATCTCAAGGAGGATTGAAACGTTCCAAGCGGTTGTAAAGAAGTTGTACATGTCGAGTATTTGATAGCTTTCAAACGTCTGTGGCAAAGATGTCTCCATAAGTGCATGGGATCCTTAAAAAGGCGGATATCTCTACTGGTAGAGGACATTGCGGATTTTTTACAGGCGACGCGGTTACATGCACATGACCACATAGCCGCAGACAAATCTATAAGTGATAAATGGTGAAATAGCGATAAACTACAATAATAGAAACATTAGATCCAATAAAGAGTGCGAAGACATAGCTATGCGGCCACAAAGGAGATTGTTATAAGACCAAGTTTTAAACATAAAAAAATAGTGGATAAAGCCCTCGGCGTTGATCAAACTCTGAGCATGCAGAATGCGCCATGCGTTCGACTTCATTAGGCATAGTTTGGAAGTGATTGAATGCATATCTGCCCTTTACAATGATTGACGGTGGCCTACCGATGTATCGAGTTAGTGCTGCTTTCCTCCGAAACAATTCTGGAGCTAGTTTGGCGATCCCGGAGGGATGGAAGGCTTGGTGGGCCATGGGCGCGAGGATCAATTCCATTTGTGTGTTGCAGGGAGCCTCTGACCACTGCGCCACAGGCGCCCTTCTTTCGCGTTTTAAACATATTAAAGTAAAATCGTACCGCGTAGATATTTCCGCTATTTCGATAATTGATGCTGCTAAGTTCGCTAATTCTCACAAAAAAATTCTTTAACTCATTTGGTCCGACACCAGTGATGATGATAGGTTGCAAGGAGTTCGTCACACTGAAATTGTACTATTTCATACCGATGTAGCTTGGAGTTTCAATAAATTTTTCCACAGATAGCCAGTGTCAGATTGTTTTCTACCAAGAATACTTTACTTTCCTAGGCTCTATAGTACTCTATAGTCAGGAAGTGGATTTTAGAGTGCAGTTAGGGCTTGGGGCTTGCCGATACGGTATTGAACTTTCAGAAGCTTAGAAGTCGAATACTATTTATTCCTATACCTTCAACCTGCCCGCATCATTTCGTCTAAGCTTGCCCATTTACGACACAATGGCGTCTGCTAACGAGCACATCCACTGATATCTAGCAACCACGTAGAGATTACCACAAAGCCATTAGATCACTCAAAAAGTAACCTTGGATTTCATCAGTTTCAAAGAAAGTACTAGATTTCTAAGAAAAACACACATAACAGTATTTTCCGCACAAGGACGGTAGAGCAGTGGTAATAATGTCTTCAATCGTGAACACGATGCTGATTCGAGCTCACACCTAGTCCACCAAACCTTTCATCCCACTGGACACAGAAAAGTGGTGCGAGACTTGATTGCGCTCAACCCAATTCTTCAAAACTGCATAAAGTAGCTCTAGCACGGTTGTCTCAGGATTTGAGTGACTACTGAATCGCCCAGCATTAAACGACATTCATAAAGAAAACAACAATCCTCAAGCAGCTGCCGAGTCCAGTCGTGAGAAATTCAAAAGTTTTCCTGGATGATAGCAATGCTAGGAAAGCAATGCAGTGCAAGAAGTGCCGGGATCCACACAGTAGATATAAAGATGGGTCGCGAAAAAAAGACTAGTGCCCACAAGCACATTTTCAAATAATTGGAATATTCTCCATTTCTTACTAATCATAACATTGGGTCTCTTTTCCACTTTTTTGGAGAGAGACGGTTTTCAAACGTTTCCAAGGTGAAGAACTGCAGATGTGAACAGAGCGCTAGAGGTGCGGCAACTGGACGAACGATATATAGAGAGGTACATAAATTTCCGGATTGTAGCGGATCACTCGAAGACGTCGAGTGAGTTGGACGGTCTTAGCTTGAATGTCGCATGTATTAGCTGTATCATTTTTCGTTCTGGATGAGTCACTTGCAAGTGTAGCCCAGTCAGTTCTGTTCGTTGAAGGTACTCGCTGTGCATCATATCTTTCTTCTAGGCTTCTCGTGATAAACTTAACTATTGGGTTGGTGGTCTTGTGGTTTTCCTGCAGTACGTTTGACATTCCGAGCAATACAATCACTAACGACTCTTGTCCATCGGTTGTCGTTCATACGCATTACATGTCTGGTCCACCTTATCCTCGATTGTTTGGTGTACAATACAGCATCTTTGATTTCTAATCGGTGACGCAGGTCGGGGCTTCAGATCCTTTCTCTTGCTTATATGACACGGGATACTCCTAGCATCGTCCTTTCGACTGCCCGTTCAAAATAACGCTGAGTGATCCTTCATCTTGCTTACGCAGCGACCAGGTTTCTGACGTTTTAAGGCAGGAAGTGCCGTGGAGACGAAAGGGTAGGCACAGAGTCAGGTGTTCGTTGTTTTTTCCACTAGATCCTCAATGCTCTTGAAACTTCCCCAAGCCTTCTGCTTTTTCTTGCTCCCATTCTGGTGCTGCGTCGTTCGTAATGTTGACTTCCCGACCTAGATAGACAAATGGGGCGTTCGGAGACGTTAATTCCGTTGAGCGTGAATGGAGGATACGTAACCAATCCTTTCCTCACGAACATCGTTTTTGTGGGATTTAGTCGAAGACCAGTTTTCCACAGGCTCTATCAAAATCGGCCAGCATTCGTTCCAGTTGGCTAATATTTGCTGTTATAAGGACGATGTCATCGGTAAAGCGAAAGTGCTGTAATTGCCACTTACCGATTTTTACCCCCATATTATTCCATTGCAATGTTCGCATGACGTTTTCGAGGGAGGTTGTAAATAATTTGACGAGAATGTATCGCCTTGCCTAACCTCTTTTTTAACATCGATGTTAATCTTGTTGTAGAATGGCGATATTTTGGTTGCGAAATTTTTATAAAGATCACGAAGAATATATAGTGAGTAGGGACACCCTAACTGTCCAGGGCTTCCGTGATTGATTCTATATCAACTGAGTTAAAAGCCGTCTTTAAATCGAGGAAAGAAAGAGCGATCTCCTTTACTCTCGCAATTCTTCAATGAGTCTTATTATCGTGTGAATATGCTCAATCGTGCTGAATCCTTTTCGAAACTCTGCTTGCTCACATGGCTGTCCTACGTCTAGTGTTCTGTCAATCCTGTTTAGGATAACTCGAGTGAAAAGTTTGTAGACGACAAACAGCAATCAGATTGGGTGATAGTTGTCGACATGTGAAGGTCACCCTTCCTGAACAATAGAATGGTCTTGCTGGACTTCCACTGACTAGAGATTTTGCATTCAGACAGGTAACGAGTGAAGAGCCGAGCCAGTGCGTTTACGAGGACTGGCGGAAGATTCTTCACGTGTTCTGATCTTATCCTGTCCGGATCTGTTGCTGATCGATTTTTCACCAACGAAAGAGCATTTCGGACTTAGGAAAGAATAGCTGGTGGTACGACGCAATCCATCGTCCCTTACATCATAGGAAGCAAAAGGACGTGGCAACAGAAGAGATCTAAATAGTAATCGTGAATGATTTCTCTATTGGCTTTCTGGACGCTGTAACTGTTCCGTCAGGGCGTCGGAGTGCAATCGTCTTGGTCTTGTAATTGGCGAAGCTTCGGTGGGCTTTGCGAATGCTTTTTCCAGCTTCTGCAGCTTCGACCGTTACTGCTGCTCTTCTCTCCTTAGGACCTTCTTTTATCACCTGTCTGCATTTTTTTGCAAGTTCGGACGTTAGTTCGCGATCGCTTGCAGCTCCTGGGATTCAACACTGGCGTATCAGCTCGAGTGCTTCTGGAAACAGAGGTCTCTTGGTGACTTTCGAACTCTTAGCTTTCATAACGCCAGCGCGAAGAATTTGAATAGGCCGATCGCATTCGTCGTCGATGTTATCGAGAATGGCATTTTCCCAACAGCTGACTACTGAGTTGAATAAATCCTACTTTATAGTGGTTTTGAGACTTGGTGTTTTGAATTTAGCGGCTTTTCCTTTTTCCACGAGAAATGAACTCTTGCATAAAGGAGGCGATGGCCTGATACCGTGTAGAATTTTGGGACAACAACGACATCGGTTAGGCAAAATTTTCAACTTACTATGATGTGGTCTATTTCGTCATCATACTCTCCATTGCGAGACTCTCATGTAGTTTGAGTGTCACGGTACAAAATGGCTAACGATGATTTCGACATAGAGAAGCTACTTGAAAAACACCTGTTGTGCATTCCACAGTTTTTAAAGACCAAACATAAAATAGGGAGCCTGTTATCAGAAATACATTATGACCAACCTATTGAACAAAGGGGGTCTATTTGCTTCTTTGTAGCTCTAACGACGACTAATGATGGAAAATGGATTCTTTACGACAACTGGAAGTTTCTCAGTGGAAATTTTCAATCAGTGAAAAATTCCCAACCATTCGTAAGCTCTTTGTATGCAAAGACACCTTGATAGTTGTGCTGCGGCCTGTGGCAGAAATAATGTTCCATTCTTTTCTTCGACCAAGTGAAATTACATTTCACCTTTATTGTGTGCAACCAGAGCGAATACTATCGAATGAAACTAGTTCCATCTAGCCAAGCATATCAACTGTCCTCTCGTGAACAAACATGCTTCCTCTAATTAGTTAGAGGATGTAACTCACCGGCAGTGATTATCGAACTTTGCTACAGTAAGTTTTAAATCTTTGACCTTCTAGATCCACTTTAATTGGGGAATAGAGGAGAATCAAGAGGAAGCAAAAAACCATCATTGACCAAAAGAAGGAACACGAAACCGTAACACAACGAAGTCGCGATAAAATCTGTTGTCCGACTCGATCCGTATTTTACGACATTCAGAACGAAGACAAAAACCTTCAAGCATGAGCTGAGCTTAAGGCAAATGCAAAGGCCTTCATAGGTAATGGATACGAGACAACAAATCGAGTGAAAAAAGTGACGGCATTCGCAGAATATGTATTTTTGGGTCATGTAAAAACAAAAAAAAACTGCCATGCTGGAACATTCCCAGTCACAATGCAGAAAAGATCACGTCTCAAGAAAGCCGACTGTTGACTGCTTATCAACAAGGCTTAAAAAAGCATTACGTGATTAGTTCAGGTTCCAAGAAAGACGATGCTCAACCAGAATTCAGCATTCGTGTGAGGGAGGAAGACGACAGGTTGCCAATCCTTGTTCGAAATAACACGAATCGGAATACTTCTATGAATGATGGATGCTAGACAATGAAACGAGTACAAGAAAGGATGAGGCCAATGCGACGCTTTGGAAAAGTGCTGTCCAGTTATAGCTACTTTTTTACATAGTCCGTCCTCAAATCTACTGTGTGGATCACAGCACTTCTTGCATCTGATTCTTTTCTCTCACATTCATCGTCCACAGCGGTTTTCGAACACTCCTTCGCGTGTTGTTTCCGCTGATGCTTGAGAAGTATGTCTTCTTTATGAATGTCGTAGAATGGTAATCAAGTCGATCCTCCCTGCAATCTTTGAGATAGAAGAGCTAGGATGTTCCCACGTGGATTGAGGAGAGCGTTGTGGGTGGGAGTGGTGGGGTGGTTCGGACTAGCGCCTTTCCTTTGATGGCATCATTGACCACGACGCTACGACCTCGGCTATTAGCCACTGGTGCACAAATTGATGTCCAGATTGCAGAAATCACCCATCTCAAATTTTAATAGGTCTAAATTTTCCTTCCATTTAAGTGAATCTAGACCAAACATTATAGGTTCAATATGTATTCTTTCTTTGATGAGCTTACACGAGGTTGATAATGATGTTTATTTTCGGCTAACGTTTCGACGTCTTCGTCTTCCTCAGAGCCGATGATCCGAGTCGATGGTCCATGATTGTTATTCATCTCGACGTGGCAGCTTCGCCTTCGCGTCGAGTCAGGCCTTCTTCAGTGAGCCATCTCCTCGAATGAGGCATCCTTACTCAGTGATGCCCTTTTATACACGATGCTGATGGTGGATATAATGATAATGTCCGGTGAAAACAACTTGTTTTTCTTCCGGACATACATCATTGCGCACATTCGGACATACATCATTGCAGAAATTATAGGTTCATTTATAGGTTTTTATCACTGTATAGGTGTGCCATCCAAATGTTTCAGGTGTACTTCTAGAGCATCAGAAGTAATTAGCTGACCGAAATTTTCGACGTAGAAGTGCGAGTTAAGTTTTTGACACCAAAGCACGACGCGGAGCACAGTGTCGTTCGAAACGTTATGTGTCCCTAATTCGGCAGGAGATGAAGGAAATTTCACCTGGGGTGGATTTGGAGTAACACACTCAAGAGGTCGTTCACGCAACTAATTCTATTCTTCCGTCAAAATTTTCCAGCTTGATCATATATTATTCAGTTTCTAAGACTCGAATAGAATCGCAAAGCCAACGATAATTTTATTAGTGACGATGGCAGGAAAACAACAAATCTCATAGTTTTGTTGGCTGGAGCTGTAGTACCTTGGGAAAGCAAAAGAACAAAGGCTTACCGTCCATTCATCGCAGGGGTGATTCTGGCCAGAACGTAACTGGCAAGCATGACGAGATGGATACCACTCCGCGAAAACTAATTATCTCCTGTATACTGAATTCATTCTGATCGATGAACAAATCGGAAACTGGTGAAGACGAATACTGTGACTGAGTAAAGTGTGATTCTCAGAGTGTGAACGCTGACCCAATGTATTCGACTTATTCAGAATTCATCCACTTTTTATCTACAGTGACCAATCCCTCTTTTCTGGGTTCCCACACAAAAGAAACTTTGTAGAAATCTGTGAACGTTGCATCCACATTTCTTTTGTCTTTCAACAACAATCGAATGTGGTTGCACGAAGTTGTCGCTATGACCATATAATCGGGAATGACGAGGAAAATCGGAAAACTTCTTCGGAAGCATTTTAGTCACTTGTTCTAAGGAACAAAATACAAACTGTTTTCGGACGGCTTTGTACTGCTGACAAGTCAGGTAACACGGTCATTTTCGAACTGCAATCACTCTACCGTGCGATAGTGCGGCATTGGTTTGCTCGAGAGATGTGAGTGTCGAGATGATTTGCTTGGCCATCTTCTTGCCCTATAAGGACAACATTCAGACTACGAATTTGACTGATTCGACGCTACATCTAACAACTGGTGACTTAAAATTTCTCGCTGTACGACTCGTGTCGCTTCTTCTGCCCATGCCTCTTTTGTGTAGTTCTCCACGTAGCGAATGTCTTCTGAACAATCGCAAATCAGGCACTTGTTATTCCGACTTACGAAACAATAATTTTCCAATAATTGGAAAATTTTGTGCGTTGTAAAAAAAAGCGATTGTAGAAAAGACTTTGTTATATCGTTCTATGTATATGATTCATATTTACGACGCCTTATACTACATATCCTCCCAACGGTTTACCGCCTCATGGTGGCCGAGAGGTTTTTCTGGGTGTCGAGTTGCAGTGTACAGCGGTGGTATTCGTCCCCGGCAGGGTCTCCTAAACTGAGGAGTCCGGCGTTTCCAACAGGAAGCCTAGCTAAGAGTAAACCAATACCAGGATCCACCACCGTCCTGGTATGAAAGTCACATGGTGACAAATTTCCCTCTGATCCAAAAGGACGGCGACTGTCTGTGGTGGTAACGACCTGGGCAGGTTTTCGCCTGGCTGATTTCAGGACTACAGGAAACCACAATGGATAAACCAATTAAACTCTAAAAAAACGGAAATTATGCTGGGGCCCGCAAAACCAGTAAAGACGGCCATCTAAGTATCCAAGTATTTTTTATATATTACTATCAAACACAAAATAGAAATAATAAACAATAGCTCATCACACAAACAGATTACTTTCAGCATTTCGAAGTGTTTTACAAATTATGAGCCTCTATCTCAGTATTTTTTATACTTACGATAGCTATCTTTCACTAAGAAAACAATTGAAATTGAAGTCGATTAGCAGCCAAATTTCTGGTTGGTGAAGTCGTTAGGAAAACAATATTTTTATGAATGTGTCGTTTTCTTGTTCAGCAATCGCGAGGTTTGCAAAATTTGCACCATCACAGCCCATTTTTAAAACGACCCTGCGTAGGATAGCATGCAACCTTTATGAGCTTCAAGATCGACTCCGCTATCAGGCCAAGCAAGAAACATCAAATAGAGATAAAAATCAAGAAGCGGCGACACTACCACCATCTCCTTTCCCAAAAACGTTCTTTACACAGCAGGACCCTAAGATGGAGTTGACATGAAATTCCGCGTGCTTTCGGACGGCGTTCTCAAGACCCTTGATTACTACCGCGATAGAAAGTTTATCTCTAACCTTACAGCCGCACAAAAATGTGGCATGCGGGAAATTAGAGAATTAATAAACTCGAAAACAATAAGATTGCCTGTTAGTGATAAGGGGGGAGAGTTCGTAGTTATCCCTCGCCAGCTGGATGTTGAGATAACAGAGGAACATCTTAGCGATGCTACTCTCTATCGTCCATCCTCTGAAAAGGAATATAAAAGTTAATACCGAAAGCTAAACAACCAATGGGTCAGCGTGACAAAGGCTGCGGGTTTAAAATCGTCGGTTATTTCGCACTTTAAAATCGAT